TGAAATGAAACGGAAGGTACAGATGGCAAAAGAGTAAGTTTGGGTCCATATGGCATGTGTGGTAGAGAAGATTCTTGTACAAATAAGCAAAGACTTCTGGGAAACAAAAGTAGATGGGTAAAAAAGAATGGAGAAGGAGAGGACAAAATGAAGGGAGAGAGGGAGAGAAAGAACCTTCTATGTCAAATGGTGTCAATTGAAATCTTGTTAAAAGTTCACAGCAGCAAGCACATTCTCGGATACACCAAAACACTTTAAGGCTCTTCTGTATATTTGCTGCTGCTATCTAAATCTATTTCTTTTTTCAAATCTGAACAAAGCTGCATAATATTCTTTGCAGGGGCTAAGGGTCTGAGAGGTCAAATCTAGTCCAACCCCTCATTTCACTAACGAGGAAAGAGAAGTTCAGAAAGAATGATTACCTTAACATTATAAAATGAGCTGGGAGAAGAAATGGGACTACAATTTGAGTCTCCTGATTCTTATTCCAAGAACCTTTCCACTAAACTCCTAAAGATTAGGCAGTCAAGTTCATAGGGGAAAATCACTTTAAAGACACAAAAAACAAGAAATGCCAAGTATAGTAACTGAGATCCATTCCACTGTAATGTCAGAAGGTCTGTGGAAAGACAGCTACCCTAATAATCCCCTACCTTCTCCTCCCACATCATCCCCCTCTCCTGAATTTTTAAACCCATCATCCACTGGCTCCTTACCTACTATTTACAAGCATCCCCAGATCTACTCCATACTTAAAAGAGCCTTCACTTGATGAGGTCTCCTACCCCACATTTTGCCTCCCTTTTACAGGCAAACACTTAGAAAAAAAGATTTCGTTGCTTCTAGTCTCACTTCTCAATCTGGCTTCTGACTTTGCTCACCTGAAAACTTTCTTTGCAAGGCTACTAATGATCTGCTGGATGCCTTTCTTGGCTTCTATTCTCTTTGCAGTGTTTAGCACTACTGACCACTCTCTCCCTCCTTGATATCATCTCCTCCCTGGGTTTTAATGTTCCTGTTCTCCCCTATTCAACTAACTATTCAGTTGCTCCTTTTCTGTGTCTTTTGCTGGATCATCATCTAGGTCCCATCCTCCTAACAGGCACTCTTCTCTTCTCTCTCTCTTCTTCGTTGGTGGTCTCATCAGCTTCCATGGGCTCAACTATCATCTCTATCCAGAAGACTCAAAGATACATACCCTCCCCACCACACACATTTACATGTGGGTGTTATCTATCTGGGAGTCTTCTAGACGTGTGTGAGTGTGTGTGTGTGTGTGTGTGTGTGTGTATGTATGTATATGCATGTGTATACTGAACTCCAGTCCCACATTATCAACTGCCTAATGGATATTTCCACGTATCCATCCTTTTACCAACTTCCATATTTCTGTTAAGGATTGCACCATCCTTCCAGTAGGCCAGGTTCCCAAACTCAGTCATCCTCCATTCTTCTCTTTCCCTCAATCCCAATCAGCTGCCAAGCCTCACTGATTCTACCTCCACAATATCCCTCATATCTGTCTCCTCACATAGCAGGTCCTCATTACCTCTCCCCTGGACTACTGCAATAGCCTGTTTGGTCTCCCTGAATCTAGTCTCTCCAATCCACCAGCTTCTATATAGTTGCCAAAGTGATATTCCCAAGGCACACATCTATGTCACTCTCTTGCTCCAACGGCTTCCTCTTGCCTCTAGCATGAAATATCAATTCTTCCACTTGGCTTTCAAAGCCCTTCTCAGCCAGACTCCAGTGTACCTAACCAGCTGCACTAAACATGACTCTCCTCTACACTTGCTGTTTTTCACACCTAATATGCCACTCAACTCTGTGCCTTGCACAGGCTGATGCTCTGGCCTAGAATGAGCTCCCTCTTCTCTAGCTCTGAGAAACCCTACCTGCCTTCAAAAGTCAGCTGAAGTGGAATATTCTGAACAGGGACCTCTCCTAATCCTGTCCTTTGCTAATGCTCTCATTCCAGAAATTACTTTCTCTGTTTTATATTCCAGTTTTTAGTCTATGTTGTTTCCCCCAATAGAATATAAGTTCCTTGAGAGAAGGAATTTTTTTATTTTTGTCTTTGTATCCACAGGGCTTGACACATAGGAGATACTTAATGAATGCTATTGAATGAACACTGCTGTTGGAGCTCTGAATTGACTCAAACATGATATAAAAATGACTTCAGAATTATGTAAGAAAAGCCACTAGGCTGTTCATAGCCTCTGACCCAGGAAGTTGCAATCAGGTATATATTCCAAAGAGGTCAATGACAGAAAGAAAGTTCTTATATATAACGAGTCATGGTAGCACTCCCACTGTGAAAGTAAAGAGCTGTTGCTTTTTTTTTAAAGTAGGTGCCCACCAACAGGGGAATTTCTAAATACACTGTAGTCTAGTAATTAAATATAATATTATTGTACAATAAGAAACATTAATAAGAATTCAGAGAAACACAGGAAGATCTGTATGATGTGATACAGGTATGGGAAAAACAGAACCAAGTGAACAATTTCACAGTGACAACAATAATGTCAAGAAAAAAACACTAAAAGAAAGCTGAACTCAATTGGTATAATGAAAAATCTTGGTTCTGAGAAGAGAATAAAACATAGTTTTCTTCTCAGAAGGAAAACAGATTGCAGAGTAGGGAATTGTGGGTACCAAATTTTGTATACACAGATTTTATCCCTCACTTTTGTTTATTTTTCTTTGTTACAAGAGGGGGCTTAAGTAGGAGGAAGAAAGGGGTTATAAAATGAGAAATGACTGTGATGCAGAGATAAAAATATAAAATTTCACTACTTGCAATTTAAGGAGCATATGCTTCCTCTAATTTTTTATATAAAAAAGCAAATTGGAAATATGTTTGTGCCATGAAGACTTCTGACTTAATAATTAAAACTTGCACCTTTTATAATACAAGTATTCAGATGGATATGTACTGTATTTGAACATTTTTTATGTCAGTATTGTGAGTTTCTTCTAAAGAAGCAACAACACTTCAACGAAGTTATTAAGATCCACCTACTCAGTTGATAGGTAGTACATATGAGAGTTTGGCCACTTAGTCATTTCAAACTGATGACAACTCTATATGGCTTACCAAAATGTACATACAAAATATAGCAGAAATTTTTTTAAAAAATTGCAATTTCAGTTCATTTTTAATTCTTTAGTTTCTGATATACTGGAACATTTAATACTACAAACTCAAAAAAAAAATAGCAAAAGCACCTCCCGTGGAATCACAGAATATTAACAAAAGGAATCTTAGGGAGACAACCCCTTCACTTCACAAATGAGAATCTTAAACATTAAGTTATCATACAGCTTTATTTAAGGATAAGTCAGGACTATGACTTATAGGCAAGGCATCATTTGCCTAACACATTAAAACTACTTTATTTTTACCTTCTACTCCTAGCTCTTACAAAGAGTAGAATGGCTACTGAACCTGCCAAGGTAAAAAATACTAGTGTGAGTTCAGAATTAAATAATTGCACTTAGTGGGAAGGTTTTTTTTTTGTTTTGTTTTTACCTTAGTTAACGTGGCATAGTTGACAGAGCTGCCCTTGGAACCATCAAGACATATGTTCAAGTCCCTCCTCTGACAAACATTGCCCTGGTAACCCTGGGCAAGTCACAACCTCTCAGCACCCTAGGCATCTGAGATGGTCAATGCAGAGGAGGTACAAACCTGCATTATCAGAGGGATTTCCTTACCTGGGAGTTTCCTATGGGAATAAAATTACTAGTCTACTCCCTATCCTGAACTGTAAAGTAAATTGTGCTTATTGGGCACAGTTTAATACGATGGTGGTGAATGTTACTGAATTCACAGAAAATGCTTGACAGAACACAAGAAAAAAATAGAGAATATGCTTTTACTAATTTACCCCAACTCCAGATAACACAGCTGCAGCACAAAGAGTGACTCGGACAGTCAAGTCAGTAGAGAAAAAATTATTAAGCGTCTATTATATTATGTGGACATAAGCGTTTGGGATATAAAGTAAAAAGATGAGGCAGGCTGCCTTAAGATTTTAAAAATCTCATAAGAACACCGAAAGCTAAAACGGTCCAATTGATATTTACATTTGCTATTCACCGGCTGAGGAATCCTCACCAGTACCTGTATACATACATACATATATATATATATATATTTTTTTGCCTTGATGTATCTGTATATAACTGTACATCACATTACTGGCATAAACAAAGCTCCACAGAACGCAAAAAGCAAACAAAAACACACACTCAAAAAGCCAGGATGTCTCAGAGCATCAACTCAGGCAGCACAAGTAGTCGAGGAAGGGAAATGATACCATTCTCTTTTACATACATGGTATCTAAGAGGTGCCTGCTGCATGCCTCCCGTCCCTGTGCCGGCCTTCAAGGACTACAGATCTCCCCCTCCCCCAAAGTCTCTGAGAACTTCTCCCCCACCCTGTGCCGTTCAAAAATACAATATGGAAGTAGGGAAAACACACTAGGCACAGACCATCCTTCGGGCGGGAGGAGGAAGAGGGGAAGTCGAAGGTAGGTAGGTGGGGAGGGAGGGAGGTAGGCAGGTACCCATCTAGCTCTCGGGCTCCCGCGGTCCCGGAGCCGGAGGTAGTCGGGGTCGGGGGGAGGCTTAAGGGGCGGCAGCAGCACGTCATCTACCCCAACCCCGCGCCCCCGGCCCCGTCCCCTCCCCGTCTGGGTCCTCCTCCCCGCCCCCTCCCCCTCCTGGCCCCCTTCACCCCGCTATTGTTCTCCAGATCCCCCGGCATCCTCTCCCCAGACCTCAGGCGGGCCCCCTCCCCCCTCGCGGGGACGCCGGCCCCTCCCCCTCGCGGCCCCCTCCTCCTTCCCCTCCCCTCTGGAGGGGGTCACCGCGGCGGCGGCCGCGGCGGTGGCAGCGGCGGCACAATAACATAAACACAGCGGTTACGGCCAGAGGAGCCGCCCCCGGGCTCCGGGCCCGGCTCTGCACCCGGCGCCGCACTCACCCAGGGAAGCGAAGCGCGTGCGGAAGGGAGGAAGGCTCTCGGAGTCGCTGCGGGCGCGGCCGGGGAGCAGGGGAGGACGGGACAGCCGTCCGAGCCCGAGCCCGAGCCCGAACCGCTGGCTGGCCGGTCCACCGAGCTCGTCCGGGCTCCGGGCCGCGTCCTCCTGCCTCCGCCGCTCGGCTGAGGAACAAGAGCGCCAGCCGTCACCGCGCACGCCGCCACGTCATCCCGCAAGGCCCCGCCCTGCCCCCGCCCACGAGGGGGCGGGGCTATTCGGCTCCCGGGAGGCGGGGCCAGCCGAAGCTAGAGCGAGGAGCGGGGAGGGCTGACCTGGGTGACCCGAGACTAGAGGCCGGGGAAGGAAAGGCGGGTCTGAGTAGGGGGCGGGGCAAAATGGAAGTATGAATGAGGGGCGTGGCTAGAGCTGGGCCCAATGGGGGCGGGGACTGCGTTTCTGTAAACTACCCTGGTGAGTTGCTGATATTGACAACTCGCATTTCTGTAGCACTTGATTAAAAGGGAAAATGTAATGAATAATTTGCTGTTCGAAAGACTCGGGTTCAAATTCCGCTTTTGACTCTGGGCACGTCACTTAACCTCAAGGTGCCTCAGGCAAATTCCTAGGAATTCACTGCTAACACACTGCCAGAGTGAAGTTGGTGAAAGTCACTTGACCTCCCGGCCTCGGCTTCCTCATTTGTAAAATGCGGGGGTTGGTCTCTCTGTACTCTGAGGTCCCTGCCAAGTTTTTATCTTCAATGCCAGCACGCCCAGGTTGAGAGCTGAAAGGAGGGAGTTCCTCCGTTAAGACAAAGCTATAGATCTTTCTAGCATCTCAGTTTATTTTGTTTTTAAGGAAAAAACCAAACCATACCTTTTCTTCACAACCTCCTGGTCAGCTAGGTAGTGAACGTCTGTAGAAGAGGAAACTGGTAAGTAGAAGAACTAAAACTATGCTTTCTACTCAAAATACCATGCTGCTTCGCAGTGCCAAAGAAGCTAGCCTAGGGCAAAATTGTAAAGTTGAAAATGAAGCTGTATACTGTATTCTGTTTCCCTACTCTCCAGCGGTGCCCCTTTGTAAACCTCCGATTGGAGCTATCACCTCCCTCCCCCATTTCTCATCTTTGTTGTTGTTGTTGTTGTTGTGTGGAGTGCAGAGCTTTAGGATTCAGGGCACCTGGGTTTTATTCCAGCTTCTTCCATTTACTAGCTGGGTGACCTTGGGCAAGTAAGTCACTGAAGCTCCAGTACCTCACCTGTAAAATGGGAATAAGAATACTTGTATTGCCTAACCCAATCATAAATGAAATGATGTGTAAAAGGTATTTTGTAAAGCATAGCCTATATGTCGGTAATGTACTCAATGGGGCAGTTAGGTGGTAAAGTGGATAGATCACTGGGTCTGAAGTCAGGAAGACCAGAGTTCAAATTTGACCTCAGATACCTATTTAGCTATGTGACCCTGAACAATTCACTTAACCCTGTTTGCCTCAGTTTCCTCATTTGTAAAATGAACTGGAGAAGGAAATGCAAACCACTCCAGTATCTTTGCCAAGAAAACCCCAAAGAGTTGAAGATGACTGAACAACAACAACAAATCTACTCATCTGTCTGTAAAGCACCCCTCAGTGCTTTAAGTAGTATATAAATGTCTGTTCACTTTAACAGCCTGGTATAGAAGAACCAAATTCAAATCTCATCTTTAACACTAGTTGGTTATGTGACCCTGGAGAAATCACTTAAACTCTGTTTCCTCATCTATAAAAGGAAGGTTGGGCTAGCTGTAATGGAAAGTAATACGCTCCTGTGACCAAGCACTTCCTACTTGAAAGATGGTGGAAATTCAAGAACAAAAGCAAAATAGTCCTTGCCATGAAGGAACTTCCATTCTACTGAAAGGAATTAACATACGTGCAAAAAGATATGTACTAAGTAACATAGCTGATATAACTTAGTAGATAAGTCCTAGAGCCTACTTGAGGCTCAGAGAGATTAAATGAATTGTCCATCATTCACACTGCTAGTATGTGCCAGAAGTGGGATTTGAATACAGCTTTCCCTGATTCCAAATCTAACCCTCTATGAGCTATGCAACAATTTAAATTACTTGTAAATCAACTTTTATCTAAATATAGATGTTAGAGTTGGAAAGGATTTCCAACTTTCTCATTAAGTCCAAATTTCTCATTAAAATAATAACTGGCATTTGTAGAGTATAAAATGTGCAAAGTGCTTCCTCTCAAGCCTCACAGCAATGCTAGGAAGCAGATAATACAGTTATCACTATCCCCATTTTATAGATAAGAATACTGAGGCACAGAAAATTTATGTGACTTACTCAGAGTCACACAAATTATTGCTTGCTTATTAGCAAGCATTGAACAAACTCTTCCCAATACCAAATGCAACACTATATATACTGCCTCCTCAAAGTAGTTAAATGGTCCGTCTAAAGGCACCCAGATCATTTTAGCTTGTCCTAGAACGCACTGGGTTTTCTTCTTCCTTTCCCACTGTTTGTTCCATTGCTATTACTTTCTATTAAAAACAGGGATCCTCCCTTTCCTTTTCCATGAAGAAAAATAAGTATGACTTGAATACAGGAATGTTTTAATTCTCCACCTTATTGTGATTCCCTTTTCTGGTGAGGTTACAAGTCGTTGGTGTCTTGGCTACATTTCAAGATAAACTTACTGATTTGTACAGAGCTGTCTCTCTCCAAATGTCTATGAGGAAACAAACAGCTCTGCCTTATCAAACATATATAGCTACCAAGTTAAACACAGTTACACACATATATACATATGCTGCTCCTCACATCTATGCCGAGACCATTGTTGTGTCACCATTTGTCAAAATCAGTTCTTTCTTAAACTACCTATCACCACTTATATCACCCTTCATCCACACGCATTGCTACCAACAAGCGACAGTCTTTTATTTTTCCTTTTTTTTTTAAAGCACAAAACCTACAAAGTGTTTTGATTGTGAATGTGCATTTTGGGGAAGAAGTTATATTTAGTTCACTTTTACAGAGATAGGTAAGGAATCATGAAAAATGAAAGTTAGTTTCCAGGAAGACAAAGTTGAGAAAGCATAGAGAGATAGAAGTAAAGATGATAGATAAAAGTTGGACTGTTTTGATACTTGTGGCCCTGGTGTACAACTCTTAACCATTCACACCCTGCCTCCCCAAGTGATCCAGGCAGCATAGTGCAGAAAAAAAGGAAGAAGGAGAGAGAGACAGAGAGAGACAGAGAGAGAGAGAGAGACAGAGGGACAGAGAGACAGAGAGACAGAGAGACAGAGACAGAGAGACAGAGAGAGAGTTTTTTGGTTTCTGTGGCTACATATACCCAGCCAGTCAAGCCCCTTTCAAGAGGAATGATATGTGCTAGGCTCTATGCTAAGTATAAGGAATATAAATATAAAGGTGGAACAATCCCTGCCCTCAAGGAATTTAAATTCTAATTGGAGAGAACACATATAGAGTAGTGGTGAAGAGGCAAGGGAATTCTGATATAAGGAATAGGGGGAATGGTAGATTGATGCATAGGGCAGCTTCCTTTTCAGAAGCAAGAGCCGTTAATAGATTTAGGCTGAGAACCTGGATTCAGATTTTGACTCTCACTTTTTACCTGTGTCACCCCAGGTAAGTCGCTTCACTTTCTCTAGGATTTCATTTCCTCACCTGTAGAAAGAGAGGACTAGTCTCTATTCTCAGAGATCTCTTCCAGTTTGAGACTCTCTGATGCTATGACTCTGCCGACTTCCTCAATATATTCCATACCTGGCTTACACCATTTTCCTCTACTCTATCACCTGTTATTATCCTTAAGATTTCAGCATCTGTATTGATAACGCTCCCATCCATCTGACTTGACCATTCCTCCACCGCCTTAGTTCCAATGACTTCATTCTCTAATTCACTTCAGCTGCCATATGCTTGATCAAATCCTGGACGTTACCACCAGTTTGAATGCCTCTGCCACCAAGGTTTTGAATTCTGAAATCCTTCTCTTTGACCAAACCCCTTTATTGTTCTACCCCTCCACTCCCTTACTTCCCCTGAATCTGCCCGTTACCACTTATTGTGACCTCCAGTCCCTCCAGACCTCCCTATTCTCCCTCCTCAACCAGTTTCTGGTCTCACTTGTGAAACTAAGCTGATGCTTTAGCCGCATCTCAACCCACCCTTCATGAAATGCATGCCAATGATACTATAATTACTTTGGTATGTAGAGAAACAATGCAGAGGGGTTGACAGTTACCAGTAATAGTGAACTTATGACCTGGGTTTTTAAATATGCCATGCAGCTGCCCTAGGCTGCTGGTTGACACTTCCTAGTGTATTTGCAGCTACTACTAACAAAGAAAGCTTGTGTATACTAATTGGATTGTTCAATGTTCAGTCTCCTTATGACACTGTTTAACTTGTTCCCTACTAACAGTGATCTAGGGAAAGTGGCTAGCCTCATCTCCTTCTCAGCTATTTATTATTTGTTACTGACATAAATCTAATTATTTGGTTCTATTTTGCTTTATGTTTATTCGTGTACATTGGGTCCGATTACAAGGCTATAAACCTCTTGTGGATAGGAGCCAAGCCTTGTTTAATGTTTTCTCTCCCTCCATGCCTAACATGGTAGTCTGTACATCATAGATGCCTCCTCCCAATGTTTATGGAAGTATAGAGGTAATATGATACAGTAGAAAGCACACTAGTTCTGGAGTTGGAGGTCCTGAGTTCAAATTCTGCCTGTGATATTCACTATCTGTTTGACATTGGAAAATTAGAATTTCTGAATCTCAGGTTCTTCATCTGTGTGTGTGTGTGTGTGTGTGTGTGTGTGAGAGAGAGAGAGAGAGAGAGAGAGAGAGAGAGAGAGAAAGATAGAATATAGTAATGTAGTAGCTGTAATACCAATCTGACTGGGTTACGGAAAGTATCAACTGAGTTAACATGTACAAACTTCAAAATAAACATCAGCTATTATTTTTATTCATGGAGGAGACAGAGGTCAATGGAAATGGGCTCTGGATCTCAGATATACACTTGTCTCCTGGCAAGAAAGAG